GTTATGAATTATGATTAAGGATTTTGAGTCAGTGGATTCAGAATAAACGTCATGTTATAATAATATATATGTGTTATGTTTTAATGTTTTTGTATATGTATGTATTGTTTGAGATATGTATTTGGTTATATAAATTTGGTAAATTTAAGATCTTGAGTTAGTGAATTCAGAATAAACGTGATTTTATGTGTATATATATCTATTAATGTTTTTATATATGTATATATTGTTCGAGATATGTATTAGTTATAAATTAGGTGAATTTAAGATCTTGAGTATGTGGATTTAGAATAAATATGATCAATGTGAGTATGTTATGATATGTATACATTATAATGTTTTTGTATGTGTACATATATTTTTCGAGATCTGTATTATGAGGATTCCTTCTAATATTGACTAGTTTTACGCTGACGTTGAGTGGAAATTTCCTCCTCTTGGATAAAAGCAATTATCTAGAACATATTTTGATGTTTTTGTACTGTATATGTATATATTTTTTGAGATTTGTATCATGAGGATTCGTTATGAAATTAGATAATTTCACGCTGAGTTTAATTAAGCCTACTAAAACTTCTCCCTCCTTTATCCAAGCAACTATTTCAGTTGAAATCGCAGAACTTATCTTAAATTTGTGGAGAATAAACATTATCAACGTGATCTTATGATATATGTATACGTTTTAACGTTTTTGTATATGTTGTTCAAGATCTATATATTATTGTGAGGATTAATCATGTTATTAGTTACTTTTGTACTGTTTTCCAGCCGATTATTGCAATGTGTCCTCTTTTGTGTATGTATATACTGTTTAAGATATGTATACGTTTTAGCATTTTTATATATGTATATACTAATGAATTTATCATAAACTTAGTCCGTTTACTGTCAACCTACTGCATTTTTTCTATACTTTAACCGAACGGAAGCAATAAATTCAGTTGAATCCATCCTAAATCCACGGAGAAAATATGCTAACTAGTCAATTTGTAGGGTTATTTGTTTGAATTTTCTGGTAACTAAGAAATGTGGTGTTTGCTTATCTGTTTTGTTTTGGACAAAGTTTTCAATTTGGAGTCTAAATCGACATTGAGTCATTTGGACGTTATTGTTGACTTGTCAATCACTCAACATAAAATAGAAGCATTGCAAGTTTAGCTAGCAGAAAGAAAAGGCTTATGATTAAAAAAAACATATTTTTTTTTCTGTCGAGAAAATCATATCTTAGCTATCTAGTATTTCTTTTGCGTATCTAAATTATCTTAAAATATATCTTGATGATGAGTTGACCAAATATTTGCTCCTAATAGATAGACACGTGTAGATCAACTCAACATCGAGGTGTGTTTAAATACAAAAAAAAAAGGTGATAATTTAGATAGGTAATAAAACAATGGATAGTTGAGAAATAAAATTCACAAAAATGTGATAATTTAGATATATTTTTACCATCAACTCTAAAAAAGAAAGTATTAAAGTGAGATTAAATGGGACTATGATATCCAGAAAAGCAAGTTTTATAAAGTTAAGATCAACAATGTCAATTTTATGAAATGGAAATAAGTCGAACAATGCAACGTAGGGATCTTTATTCATCTTGTTGTTAATTAGAGATGACAAATATCTCGTGAAATTAGTCAAGATACATGCAAACTGATCCGAACAACACCATTAACAATAATTAAAAAAGGCATTACAAGAAACACAGAGCAAAGTCAATATTCCATAGCATATCCTCACTAGAAAAGTTAGTAGCTAGATGACAATGCAATAAATCTAAGGACTTTTCTAGCTAATTTAGTTGAAAAGGACCTCTTTCATATTAATTTCAAATTTAAAGATTGTAATAATGAAATGAAAGAAAAAAGAAGGATTGATTAAATAGACGTGTTTGGAGATAGGTGGTTATAAGGCCCAAAATGAGTGGCCAAGCTATAGAGTATTCATGTGACCTTCAAGCAAGTGGGCTCAAAAACTCCATATACCTCCACTCTCTTCTTTTCATTTAATCATTCAGTGTTCAGAATTCATTGATTCGATTAATTTAAATTTAAATGTTACAAAAATGTTGTTATGAGGAGGTTTAGAGCTTCCAGCCACCACGAAGGATTATAGTGGATGTAAGATCATTTCACTTTTATATAATTAAAAATTCGACTCCGAGCCTTGAGTATGAAAAAAATCTTAGTAGAGAACATTTTTCTTCTAATAGACCTTCTGTGACACAAATTCAGACTAGTCAAGGGGCCCAATAGAGTTATCGAACATAACATAGAACAAAACCCTTCATTCTGGAGCCATGATAGGTTTTGAATGACCTTTCTCTCTCTATAGGTTGAGCTTTCTTTTCAGTCCTCTCACTTAAAAACACAACTTTATTTGTCATGATTTTATTTGTAGAACTCGAATTCGAAACCTTCGACAAGAAAGAAAAAGGAGATATGCACAGAATTGATGTAAAGCAAAGGAATGGTGGGATGGGAATAGACACAACTGTTATTGATTAAAAGGACATTTATATTGGATATCCCCATACACTTCCATTTTATTCTTTTAAAGATTTTAATAGAGTGAAATGGAAAGTTCCAAGTGGAGATATAGGAAAACAGCATTATCACACAATAATATTAAATAGCATCTTTCAAAATGCAGGGTAAAGTTTACGTTTAATAGATCCTTATGGTTCGACTCTATTCTAAATATGCAAGATTAAGTTGCATTTAATAGATCCTTATAGTTCGACTATGTTGTAAATTTCACAAATAGCAAAAATGTAGCCTATCATGTTATTCTTTTCAAGCTAATTAAAAAAAGAGAGTAGAAAATTGAGTTTTCTAAATCATGGTCATGATAATCTTAGAAATGTCTATATTTTGAAAATGGATGTATGGAATTCTAAAAGTCTGTTGATTTTTTTATTTTGAAGTTTTGAATCTGCCTCAAAAAATAGAATAGTAGGATTTGCGTATGTACACATTACTTTATCTATATCTTATTTTTGAAATTACATCGAATATGTTATTATTGTTTTGCCAGTTTTACGAGTGGAAGAAATTAGAGTTTTTTCTAGAAGCTCTTTTAATTTGTCGAAAGAGATTTTTTCTTTTCAAAGCTGCTTGAGAAAAAAATAAACAAACGTGAAATTTTTTAAACAAACAAAAAGCTTAAATACTTTGTATATTATTTTAAGATTTTGTGTCCCTTGAGATGTTCAAAAGAAATCACGTCTCAAAACAATATAGTAAAAAAAAATGATACTAGTTGACTTGTGAAAAAAATAATAATCTTTAAGGATCCTAGTAATTATAGATTATTATAGCTTTGTGATTCCATTTGATTTTTCTCTACGCACATACTTTTCTTTCTAAAAATAAGAATCAAAATCGAATATTAGATTAATACCTTTCTTAATTATCTGATATTCAAAATTCATGACACTTAACTATTTTAGATTTATCATAACTTGCAGGTCTACTAAAAAGAAGCACTCTCTCATATTACAATTTTTTATTATTAAAGTTCAAAGTCATTATCCCAAGTTAATACTTATCGATTATAGATATTTTTAATAAAAAAATTCATAAGTTCTCAACGTGCCATCTTTTAGGATAATCACTTGAAAAAATGTTGATAATGACTTGCACAAATTTTATATATGATCGTTGAAACACTACAATTGCTAAACAATACATTGTAATGCTCATAAATTGGCCCCATCTTTTAAGCTGTTTTTTTAATTATAATTATTTTATTTTATTTTAATGAATTCAACTTTTTCCTTTTTCTTCTCTTTTTATAGTTATTATCGCTTTAAAATTCCGTACAAACTTGAAAATTAAAAGGACACAATTAAATATCAAGTAATTAAGTAGTAGTACCAACATACCAACATGTATTGCCTACACTTTTAATACTTTTAATATGAGGTTTCGAATTTTTGAGTTTCTAGAAATTAACAATTTTTATTATGAGTGTGACTCTCAAAATATATCTTACAATACGTGAATTCAAATTTAATCGAAATCTAATAAAAATTATCGGACACAAGATGAGAGGTTTAAAAAAGGCAAATAGTAATAGTAAATTTGGTTGCTATAATGTTTTAGAATTAAAGATTTCTAAGTAGTGTACATAGTTAGGAAGGCTGAAATTAATAAATGGTAATTTACGATATTTACCATAATCACCAAAAATTATATAGTATATTCCATTTCATAAGTATATGACAAGTTCATTTATCTTGAACTTTCAATTTTATTCTCTGATCAACATATTTTTGATGAGTATATATTTCCTTTTTTCATTTTTTCGATATCTTAATTAGTTCCTGATATATTTATCTTCGCATTAAATTCACCTAAGATTAGGTTTCAAGCATCTGTAATTAACTTTTTAGGTTTGCCGTCTGAGAATGTAATCATGAGAAACTATCAAACTAGGATATCACATAAGCAAAGGTAACTTCTGTTTGAGCGCGAAATAAATAAAATTCAAAGAAAAAAATCATATTCAAAACTCAAATGAAGTAAATTAAAAATAAATATCATGTCAATTTAATTAATTATATAAAAAAATACTTACCAGACCAATACAATATTCTACCGCGAGTATACAATATTAACATTAGTAAGATGTATTAAAAGAAAACATACCAAGAGTTACAATGAGAAATATAATACTACTAACAAACATATTCAATATAATCTCATCAAATAAGATTTGAAAAAGGTAAAGTATATACAAATCATATTCCTATCTTAAAAATAGAAATACGATTTAGATAAATCTTAATAATATACTGAGTATGATCTCATCAATTAAGATTGAAAAAAAAGAAGATAAAGTCTGTACAAATCATATTCCGATCTTAAAAATAGAGATATGATTTCCACATCCCTTAATAACATATTCAGTATGATCTTATCAAATAAGATCCGAAAAAGATAAAGTCTATACAAATCGTACTCCTACCTTAGAAATAGAGATACATTTCAAATAAAATTCAAAACAATCCCGAAAAAGAAAGTAATATAAAAGTAGAAGAAATAGTTAGCACAGTAGTGTAACAAGAATTTGGGCATAAGAGAAAACTACAAATACTTGTAGACAATTTGTACTACCCACCATAGATCGAATCAAGATCAACAGCTAATTTCATCTTCTCCAATTCAAATTCGATAACCCCACAAAAATTTACTGCAAATCTTGGAGAAAGAATGAAACCCCATGAAAAATAGTGAAGTATTGAAGAAGTTTGAAAGAATTCATCAATTGTGTAGAGAATCCAACATTTGGGGAAGTGGGTGTGATTGAAAATCAAGCAAAATAGGAATCTGTTTTTCAGGACCGAAAGGGGGCGGCGGCAAAAGCTCTGAACCACAACCAATTGTGGTTCAGAGGTTGTCGTCCCCAATTCAAGCAGTAACAGCAGCTGCTGCTTCATCGTTTAGGGAGAATAGTTTTGGTGCTGGTGATAGTACGAAGATGAAGGGTTTATTTAAGTCTAAGCCCAAGACTCCTGCTGACCTTGTTCGTCAGACCCGTGAACTTCTTATGTATGTTGAACGGGTTAATGATACTCGTGAAGGCAAACGAGAAGAAAAGGTTTGAAATTTTTCAGTTTTTAGTTCATGATTGATTGTTACATTGTCTAATTTTGTTAGTTTAGAAATTGGCTCAGTTTGTGAATTAGTGAGCTGAAAGGGTACCTTCCCCAGAGTATCTTGTTATTGTTGTTGTTGTAATTGAGCAGAAATGGATATAGAGGATCATATAGTGATCTCAACTAATTTGGTTTGAGACTGAGGTTGATTGATTTGGTTAATTTGTTTGAGCGAATGCTATTGAATTAGCTTGTTTTATGAGATTCTTATGTATTGAGGGGTTCCGACACTCGTGAAAAGCAAACGAGAAGAAAAGGTTTGATTTTTATTTTTTGCAAAATTCTTACCTTGTCTTATCTTGTATGGAAAGGAAAATGGGAACTGAATAGAGCAAAGTATACAAGGAATTATATGGTTTTGAGGTATAGTTGATGATAGATTGATCGATTGTTGGAGTGAGTCTTTTTGAAGTGGCTTAGTTTGTGATTAAGTGATGTGGATTTAGTGGAATGGATATAGAGGATTCATATAGCCAAGCTCAATGAATTTGGTTTTGGACTGAAGTTGATTGATTTGGTTCAATTTGTTTGAATCAATGCTTTTGAATTATCTTGTTTTGTGGAATTTTTCAGAAATGGGATGGCTTTAGTTGGTCCAATTTGGATCTAGTTCATTTGCTTGTGATCAAAATGTAATTTTTAATTTTGTAGATTGCTAAACAACAACGGAATTGGCAGATAAGTGCAGTGGATTGATTTGGTTCAATTTGTTTGAATGGACATTTTTGAAGATTGCTTTGTGATTTTTTGAGTAATGCAATAGCTTTAGTTAGCACAATTTGGATCCCCGTCATTTGCTTGTTAACAAAATTATATTTTATTATGTGGAACGCTAATTGCTAAGCAAAGAGCGGAAGTGGTGGATAAGTTCTTTCTAGTGATATGCAGTAGAGTTGATTTGTTTTCTACGTTCTGGAATATTGTGATTGAATCAACAGTGAATCAGTGACAATGCCACTATTTTGAATGTCGCTGATATAGATTCTTAATAATTTGGGATATATATGTGATAGTGCTGTTATATGAAATATTATTTTGTTTGATTATGTTTAGCATCGTGTTTGTTATGCACTTTTTTTTAATGAAGTTGTACACTTTTTATTCTTAAATGTATATTTGCAGATGATGGAGTTAAGCAAGTCAATCCGGGAATTAAAGATTATTCTTTATGGGAATGGTGAATCCGAACCCCTCGCTGAGGCTTGTGCTCAGTTGACCCTAGAATTCTTCAAAGAGAACACGCTTCGGCTAATAATTAATTGTCTTCCCAATTTGAATTTAGAGGTAAGTTAACATCTTCTATGAGTTCAGAAAGTTGCTTACGGTCAGATTGTCTCTCTCTTGTCACGTGAGGTCGTGAGCGGGGTCTTATTTATGTTTTTTTGTTGCTTTTTTTGGAGAGGGTATGATCTGCTTTCTGTTCTTCAATCATTTTGATGGTTCTACTACATTATTGGGTCATTTTGAATTGGACTTTCACTTCTGTTAAGCCTGTTATCTTTGTTCTTGTCTTTTCCTTATTTTCCTATTATAATGATGTTTCTATTTCACAGACCCGCAAAGATGCAACTCAAGTAGTAGCAAATCTGCAGAGACAGCAGGTTCAGTCACGGCTGATTGCTTGTGATTACTTGGAAGCAAACATTGATCTGATGGACAAATTAATATTAGGGTAAGCTACAGTACATAAGATATCCAAAATCTGGTGACTTGCTAGTATGATGCTTTGTCCTGTCAAATTTTTCATGTTTACTAGTTTTCCATATTCTTTAAGTTTTTCCTACCTTTACTTTCTGACAGATGTTTCTAATCTGTATCCATGTGAACGCTAAGTCAGATATTTTGGATGAAAGAAACCATTTTTTAGATATAGACTTTTAGACTAGAAGTGCTTGTTTTCCTTGTACCGATAAAAAATAAGTTCTTGTATTCCTTATACTTTATTGTGTTCTGTGTCTAATCCGTGTTATCAGGATTTTCTTTTGCTTGAAACACTCCCCTTTTTGGTCCTCTAGAAACATCAGCTCTACACCATGACAAACTCGAGATTAAATTGAGATTAAGCAGACCTTATTTTCTTTATTAGTCCAAATGATAGTATTTACTTGACCCTTATAATGTTAACTGTGTGGCTAGTCAAATTTTATCACATAAATGGGATGAGGTAATACTTTTCGACTGCATTTTCGCAAGCATTTTTTCAGAACTTAATTTTTGCGGCACAAAAGATGTTTCTGGAGATTCCTGTTGCTAATCTCCGGTTTGTGTGTTTGCTGACTTCTGATGATCCTTTTCCCATGTCATCTAGATATGAGAATACAGAAATGGCTTTGCATTATGGTGCAATGTTGAGGGAGTGCATTCGCCACCAGAGTGTTGCAAGGTAAACCACCTGAATCTATTTGATGGGTTTTTTTTGTCTTTTAGTACTGTCTAGAAGTTTTTTTCTTTGCTTCTTTCAAGTTTATTGGTGTAAGGGGATTTATTTATCTGACTTGCTGGTGACATAATTAGTTTCTTTGAGTAATCTCTTTCTAGTCCCTGATTATGTCTTGGATAGAAACATAAAAAAGTAGCTTCATGCTACTGAATGGATCCTTTTTTCTGATAACTTGCATTTGCTCTTTGGTTTTTAGGTATGTCTTGGAGTCTGAGCATATGAAGAAGTTTTTCGATTATATTCAGCTGCCAAATTTTGACATTGCTGCTGATGCTGCTGCCACCTTTAAGGTTAAATGCTCTTGATCATGATTCTGGAATGATTATCACTGTCTGCTTCTCCTTTGCCTATCACATGTCATTAAGTTGGTAGAAAAGGCAGAAAGTGAAGCCTTTTTGCTACTTTAAATTAGAAATAATTCAATAAGAAGTAAATGAATTAGTTTCATGGGAATTCATTCACCATTGCTATCATCCATATTTATAGGAGAAAGTTATTTTATGGAATGGGGTGATTTGTTTCTCCTAGAAGCAAGCACTTGTTGGCAAAGTGGCTCTGGAAAAATATATAGCTTTTCCTATTCTGTAAGAACTAGCTAATCATTACAACTGTGACGTTATCCTTATCAACTTGTAATTCTTGATCAGGAACTCTTGACAAGGCACAAATCAACAGTAGCTGAATTTCTTTCGAAGAATTATGACTGGGTAATGAAAGTTAATTATTTGGACAAGTGTTTGTATTGAATGTGTGCAAGAATATTGTTTAAACCATATATTATTTCTTTCGAAGAATTATGCTGCTTGTGGCTTTATTTTTGTTATTGTACATAATGCTCTCTAGCTACTTCTTTCTTCGATACTAGTTCTGCTTACACTACTAAGTTCTTGTTATGATTACATGATTGTGAAGTCATCTTTTTCGTTCTCGAGTGTTTCGTGGCAAATGTGTTAACCCCATGGGCACTAGGCAGTAGTATTATAATTTTAAATTTGGGGACCTTATTTCTGTTGCTCCTATTGTCTATTGCATGACGGGGTGAAAATGTAAAGGATCAATTGAATACC